GTAAGGGCAAACCCGTTATATATAATTAACATCTCCCCAACGCAAAAATACATCTTGAAAAGCCCTTACCCTCTACGAAGGTGCCGCCCTTTGATTAGTGATTCGATTAGAGAGTTTCTTGCCAATAAGAGAGATCAGTGATTAAAAACCTTGTGATTGCTATTTAAAGCCGATAATTAAAGGTGTTAGTGTCCATTACTTCTCCATCTGTCTGTCCGGTCAGTCCCTTAATGTCCGCCCCTGAAGTGTCCGTCCTGAAGAGAGACTGAATAGCCCGTGTTGGCGGCATAAGGCACTCCAAACGGACTCACCACCTAGGTTTACCTGGATGGCCGCTCGTCTGGACTCACCGAAGCGTTGGTCGGGAGGCCGGGGCGACTTTGGGGAAAGTCGGTCGGCGCCACAGTATATTCCTTATGCAAGTTATCCAATAAAATCTCCTTATGTGGACTTTGCGCACGCGCGCAAAGCCGCGCGCACACAGACTCTTGACCAATCACGATCAATTAAACTGTCTTGTATCCAGGTGCCAACGCGTGCTTAACGCAGCGGGCATTATCACTTCTCAGCGGGCATTATCAAATGTTAATACACGGTCAAAGTCGCACGTTGTTGAATAGGGAGATTGAGGTATTTATTAAGTGATAATCTACTGTGCATCCGTCTATTATCAGTTCAAAGTAACCACTTATTATCGGAAAATAATGAAATTAGTGTTTTAAGCTGCTATGAACAGGCGTTCAATGTCCCGATGATAAACACTTTATATGTTAAAAACCTCCACGTGTTTACCATATATTTATTTTAGAAACACGTCAAACGTTCTTGGGTTTTACAATTTTGTTCGAAGGCGTCACTTTTTCTTGTCAAATCGGAAGGCAAATTTAGTGATGAAAGTCCTAGCCGAGAGGCAGACATCGAGAAGGTTCAGCGAGAAGATCATGATCCTGGTCAACATTGAAGTTGAGGATTGAAGAACAACGAGTGATCAGGCAGTTTTGGGTATGGGTTGATAGAACTTATGGAATTCAATCCTATGCCCTCCACAGAATGGCGAATCTCAAGCGTTGTCTAAAGCTATACGAAAACAACAAACTTTGGAGGATAGGCGGTCGAGCAAAAAAAGGGCAAGAATGTGAGTGTAGAGAACCAGTACGCCCGCCGGTGACAGAGCATTGCAACTTCTTAATCGAGTTCGTTAGTGTGACGTCGTTGTAACTTAAACCATGTTACCTACGTGTGGGAGGGGCGCTATCTGGTGGGGGGTGCGCATGAACAGACACACCAGAACACCCTGGGCTCGGATCTCTGCTGGTGTTATTGCTATTTAATTTCAGTAGTAGACTGGCCAACAGCGGAGGCGACGGCAAACATGAGGAATATAAAGAAAAAGAAACACAACTTAAGTTAATTGTTCCTTCTAGGTGAATGGCAGGAATTATACATGTAAAATCTGAATGTATTGAAATGGCACAGTTTGACCCTAAAATGATGAAATTGGAAATGTCAGGAAAAACAGTTTATTTATTCATCCTTCCAAATTGATTAATTGCCAAGAAAATTGAAATTCACACTGTGGACTTCCTCCTGATGGAAATAACAAAGAGTTCACCTTATTGTCATTATCCAATCCTAAAATTACATGCACATTGGAATAAAGATGATAAATCAATATCCCTCAAGTACTGGGAAAATTACTCTCTAATTACTTTGTAGCCTAGATATAGAATCTAATATAATTGAAGTCCATTCATTACAAACAATTTCAAAATTAAAGCAATAATCATCTCCAAAAAGCAAGGGATTTACATGTCACTTAATCCTCAAGTACATGTGCCCGTCTCATTAATTTACATGTCACAATTTGCCCAACATGTGCATGTACATGCAAGTAATGCAAAACCAGTAACTTCGTTCAATCAAATGATCTAAACTACATAACCCACATAATTACTCCACCATAGATCCTACTCAAAGTTTTGGTCTCGGCACCATTGACGTCGATACAGATATATTTATGTATACATGTATATGCAAACCAGACTTGTCTGAGCACACAGCTATAAGGCCGCCATTATTTTACCGCTCGAAAGTAACAAAACCATTTGCCCAATTTACCCATAAAATAATGTATTTATACCCTTCCCACGATATCTAACAATTTCTCTACTCCCTGGAAACCCATTTGATGATTTACAAGAAATTTACAAGCCCAAGAAAAGTGAAATTTACCTATTTAATTTCAGTGGTAGACAGGCCAACAACGGAGGCGACGGCAAACATGAGGAATGCCCCGGCCACCGCATGACAGCGCTGTCACTACACACCAGCATACTCACAAGTATATGTACAACATGCATGACATCCCTCACATACGGGTTATAACGCTAAAAGCTCGAGCGTTGAATCCAACCCTTCCATTTGTATATTGGTGCTAAGTTTGAGTGTAGTTTCCCATGTAGTGCTCGTAATCGGCAAAACGTGCGTATGTGCATGACGTATAGTATGACGTATATTAATGGCTTGTATTTCTAAGGCCGACTTAGTCTGTGAGTCTAATTATACAAAAGTGTTCAACTATCTTTTCCACGGAAATACAGAGTCTGGATATAAAATTTGTTAACATCTGAGTACGTTTCGAAAGTCATTCAGGATGCTTGTGTAAACAAAATTTGAGATATGGTAATTTAAGCATATGTAATAAGCTGACGATAACCATAATCATGGAGGTCCTAGTTATAAAAAACAATGAGTTTTACACTCAACGAGGCCGGGCCGAGTCGACAGGGAGATATCTTAGCAACGGTGGAAACTATGGAGTGTTATGCAAAGTCCCCATGTCATGATNTATAGTCCCCTCAAAAACCACCCCACAGAAAGCTGGTGCTCCCATAAGAAGCTGGTGCCCCCTTTGTGACCCCCTCCCACTAGTAAAATCCTAGCTACGCCACTGAATACAAGACAGGGCATACTTTTACAGTGCTTTTCCTATAGGGGGAAAAACAAACGAGGATGCTAAGTTCACCCCAATCACATGACTTGCTATTGATATCGCATCTTTATGTCCGAGTGAAAGTTCATGTATGCTAGGATTTAACGAGAATATTTCCAGAGTTGTTTTTAGTAACTTATACTCCCGACATCCTTGCTTTTATTTACTGGTGTTGTTTTTCTTGGAGTTTAATGCTAATACTTAATACAAATATTTAATACATAAATATACAGATTACATTCTTTCTTACTAATCTATAAAGTAAGTTGCCCCCTGCCCCCCGGACAATCCACTATAGTCATCGCGAGGTTTGAGCCCAGCATTTTATTTTCGTATGTCATAATTTGACTGTTTGTACAGTAAAGCGTATAATAAGGGAATGACTTTACAAGGCTCGGTGTGTCAGAGATTGTTACATTGTATTGATTCTTTTATTAGGGCCTATAATATTGTATCTGTGACCCGCAACCCTAACTCTCATGCCATTGAGAAACCAACTCATTTCCCGCATTGCCACAAGCATTAGACCGAGAATTACTCAAGCTATGATCAGGAGAAAGTTTACGAAAAGCTGTGGCTGATTGAAAACTTTCCAAAAATTCAAATGCAATACACCACATGAAACTTTCCCCCAGATCAGTTTATTTCCTCGTTCTGTGAGTCCAAGCACTGCTTTTCAAAGCTACAATGTTTAACTTAGAGATCAGGAAGTTTAATGTACTTCATGAACTGAAAGTGAGAAATAACTTTCAGCTATTGTTTATTGAATAAGAACCTGCTTTTCCGTGCACTGAAACTCAATGTTGACATTGACGCTTGGTGACACAGTCATGTCTGATTTGTCAAATCATTCAAGGAAACCGTTCTATTCTATTTAGGAATGGTACAACAGGATAATCGATTGGAATCCGGAGAAACAGAAGCTCAAAGAACAATGGCGCTTTTCACGACCTCAAAACCTTTCCCCACAAACAGAGGTTTTATGCACCAACCCACAGCTGGTCTTCTGTGCCGTCGGGTTCTCCATCTTGGCAGCCCTGACAATCATGGGTAACAGCCTGGTGATGGTTGCCGCAGCAGCAAATCTCCAGAATGTGACCAACGTATTCGTGGTCAAACTGAGCGTGGCTGACTGCCTTGCGAGTTTCGCTGTCCTTTGGAGCGCGCCGGATCTGGTGACCAAAACGCCAGGGTACCCGCTACAGTCCAACGTCGCTTGCGCGGGAGCGGCTGGTCTCGTCTTTTTCGCCGCAGGATGCAGGATCGCACGCAACCCGTACTTACTGATCACCAAGCCCGAGGCAACATAGCTACCAGCGGCTGTACGCTCATAAGAAGATCTTTCTGATGGTGTTGGTCTTCGTCCCCTACTGACTGCATGCAGATGCCATACTGTCGGCGCTTTTTGAAATGGCGTCTGACATGGCACCAAATCAGAAGATACGAAGCAATTATCGCCATGAAAGGTAGCGGGTAAAAAATAGCAAACTGAATCTTCTTGTACTCTGTAGCTTGAGGATGGGTTTCGACATCGGCACAAACGCGGCTCTCTGGGTCGAAACCGAGGTCCCCTATACCACATACAGGCGGCAAGATGAAGCCGCACGCGGTGACAAGCCAGGAGCATAAGACCATCATGGCAATCTTCTTAGGTGTGTACAGCCATTGGTAGGTTTCCTTGGGTCTGGTGATCAGGATGCACCGGTTCAATGCGATGTTTACTAGGGTCAACACGCTGCATCCATTAGCGATAAAGACCAGACCAGCCGCTGCCACGCACGGGACGTTGGACCGCAGCGGATAGCCTGGCGTTTTGCTCACCAGACCCGGCACGCTCCACAGCATAGCGAAACTCGCCAGGCAGTCAGTCACGCTCAGATTGACCACGAACACGTTGGTGGCATTCTGAAGCTCCTTGGACCGGGCTACAGCAACCAACACCAGGCTGTTACCGACAAGTGTCACGGTAATCAGGATGGAGATGGCAACGGCGCAGAACACCAATTCAGGGTACGTGTATATGGCCTTCATTGATACGAGAGTTAGGTTCGTGGGAAATGCCATTGCTCTCGTTGCTGATATACTGAAGTTCTGTTGGTTACTTATTCTACAGACGTAGATTTCTTCGAATCCAAGTTGATTTGTATTACCATAAACTCAAATCCATACCGATCTGTTTTGAAACAGGTATTAAAAGAACATTGATCACTTTCAAAAATGTACCTTTCTCGAAACTTCAAGTTGTTGAAAGTGAAACCGGGAATTCAGAAACACGGCCTGAACAAACAGAAGAAATAAATGGGTTGAAAGTGAAAAGATGGTTGAGGTCCTTGGAATAACCAGGCATTCATGTCTCCAGAANGTAGCGAAACTCGCCAGGCAGTCAGACACGCTCAGGTTGACAACGAACATGTTTGTGGCATTTTGAAGCTTCTTGGACCGGGCTACAGCAATCAACACCAAGCTGTTACCGACAAGTGTCACGGTAATCAGGATGGAAACTGCAATACCGCAGAACACCAACTCAGGGTAGGTGTATATAGCCTGCATTGACACCAGAGTTAGGTTCGTGGGAAATGCCATTGCTCTTGCTGCTGATATACTAGAGTTCTGTTGGCTACCTATATTCTACAGAAGTCTGAAATAACCCGACGTGTTTTTACAAATCCAAGTTGATCTATATTACCATTAACTAAAATCAACATCAATCTGTTTTGAAATAGGTATCAAAACAGCATTGTTCACATTCAACGAATGAAATTTGTCTAAAAATGTACCCTTCTCCAAACTTCCAGTTTGTAAAAATGAAACCGAAAATTCAAAAATACGGCCTGAACCAACAGAAGATCTGAGTTCGTGGAAGATGCTATGGTTCTCGTTGCTTAATTATGTTATGTAGTAATTTATGAATACAAAAGAGATCGTACCATATTTTTGCAAGCCCAAGTAGGTTTATACTACCCCGGAACTGAAATTAACTGCAGGCTTACACAAAACTTTCTGTGAAAATAATGTGTCGAAATACATGTGATTGTTTGCTATTGAAAAGAGGTTTCAAAAGACACATTTCACTCTGAACAAATAAAATTTCCACATTTGGAAATTCTACATTTCTTGGAAACCTTCACTTTGGTAAAGCCAACCCGAGAATTGACAAAATGAAAGGTTTTTGTCACAGGTCATGTATGCCATATATGCCATATATGCCAGGTCATGTATGCCATAGCAAGAATTCATAAAATTCCTTCTAATTTTGTCGGAAAAAGGTACGGCCGTTTAAAGGACTTGCTCCAGAACATTTTCAAGAAAAAAAGTATTCCAAGTTCTTTATTTGAGCCAGTGCCCCCAAAAAATTCAAGTGAACGCTTACAATATTCTTTTGTTTGTATTTATTTTATTTAACTGATAAACTCTCACGGCTGACAGAGAAAAAGAAGCCAGAAAGTTGACCTCTAGTTCTGGCCGCACACTTCCAGAACCCTTCAATAGGAGAAGTAATGCTTCTACAAAAAGTCGTAGTTATTTCAGTCATTTCGGGATCAGTAAGGGCGTCACTATCAGAAAATCGCCAATCGAAATGGCCTGAACAAAAATGCTTCTAAGCATTATGGACATTAACTGCATGGCTGTGGCCAGAAACAACACGCACGCGTACGGGTGTGTGGCTGCATATGTGCAAGTGGCTAATTCCATAGCTGAAGTTGTTATTCCCAAGCATTATGGGCCTCGAGCCGGACCAAGAGAGGGCGCTCTTTCCTTAGCAACGGAGGCTCCGTTGGTCGGAACTGCACTTCGCTGGTTCACCAACGACTGTGAAATGCACGCGTTACAGGTCGCTACCAGCGTAGTTACCAGCAAAATGAAAACTCCCGAACAACATGGCCCTTTCCAACCAATGCATAAAGAGGAGCTTCTGCTGAGGGCAGCAGGTTCGAACGTATGTACACTGTAAAGGTGCTTTTCCCGTTGGGTAAAATGAAACGCGTTTGCTCACACATCAGGAGAGAATTAACGCCGTTGTCTTATCTGTATGGCCAAAAAAAAAACAACAACAACAAGAACAAACAACAAAATGCCCAACGTCATTACAGTGTAATTGGACACTGAGTAGAGTGGATGTTCATGTGTTTGAAAGTACGTCGGGAACTCAAAATATTTCTTCGTGACCGGAATTAATTTCAAGAGTATACCGGTACGTGAAATACTATTTCATTGGTCCCCTGGGTTCCAAACGAACATACTGATTTTGAGCACACACAAGTAATGTCAAACGGTGGAAACAAATTATTACCTTCTGTTTGGGATTATTTCTGAATGGCCCTCGGCCCTTTAGCAACACTGCAAAAGCTCAAATTAAGGTGTAAGTCAAAGACTAGTTTATACTGCTATCTATAATGGAATAGGCCAAAATTCTATTAAAGTCTAGTACCCATCCTTTGTTAGTGCAGGTACTAACCACGGAAACAGCACCATTCACACGTATTGACATACTCGTGTTCATGCTTGTGAAAAGGATGGCGCAATGACGCAAACCACACGTTTACCTGCATAACAACGACTTCAGAATGGAATGTTTCTTGGCATTTCCAAGGTAATAATATAAATCAGTCTCCCCAATATTAGTTGTTAGAATTTTAAAGCCCATTGAAATATTTCGTTATACCTTTAGGTAAGTACTCTTGAAGATCTCCACCCGACCGCTTGATTACAGGTTCCGTAGCGGTTTGATGAACGATGGAATGAAATAAAATTTCAACATTGACATGCACATGTCATTCTTTTTATTTTACTACCATGTGACAAGATGTTTATTCTACTATTTAAGCTACTTTGTAATGCCGGTTAGGTTCTTGAAGAATAAGGCCGGAGAAGACTTAACATGCCTTTTAAAGCCCGCAATGAGCCAAACATTTTACAAGGAAAACGTTACAATTTCTACTCTTTGTTGTCTGATTTCGTTGCTATTCAAAACAGTTTCTGTTTGGAAAGTTTCAAATACCCCAAAATCCGCAATTCAGGTTTCAAATCGCAAAACAAAGTACGAGTGTGTTGGGGGTGAGGTCGTAAATGCACACAACCTCAGTTCAGTAACGTGGGGGGGGGGCAATAGACACCCTCTATTCCCCTCTTGCAGTCGATTTACACCCGTGTTTCTTTGGAGCGAAGGAAGTTTGGAAAAAGCCACACTTGTTTGCATAAATGTCAGTTGTTGAAAGTGAAAGAATTGTGCATATATCTCGATATTTCGAAATGCACTAATTTACAGCGATACCTTCTCCCGAAGAATGATTTATTCATGTCAAGTGCTGATGGCCGGCAATGAGATCATTTTATAGATCTATGAAACCACGTTCCACTTATTTAAAGACGTTGTAAGATACAACTTGAGTCAGAAACCAAGTAGATAAACTAGGGGAACAATGGCTTTTTCGGCGAACTCAACTTTTGCGTCGGTAGCCGAGACTTTATACACCTACCCCGAGTTAGTCTTCGTAACCGTCGGCGCCTCCATCCTAATCACGGTGACACTCGTCGGCAACAGCCTGGTGTTGGTTGCTGTGGCCCGAACCAAGACACTCCAAAACGTTACCAACGTCTTCTTGGTCAACCTGAGTGTGGCTGACTGCCTGCTGAGTTTCGCTATGCTGTGGAGCGTGCCGGGTCTGGTGAGCAAAACGCCAGGCTACCCGCTGGAATCCGACATTCCGTGTGTGACAGCGGCCGGTCTTCTGTTCATCGCCACAGGCTGCAGCGTGTTCACCCTGGCAAACATCGCCGTGAATCGGTTTATACTGATCACTCGGCGCAGGACCACCTACCAGAGGTTGTACACACCCAGGAAGATTGCACTGATGGTCCTAGCCTCCTGGCTCGTTCCCATGTGCGCTGTGGTTATCCCACCTTTATTTGGTATCGGGGGCCTCGGTTTCGACCTGGAGAGCCGCGGCTGCCAACAGTTGACAACTCTTCCTAAAGCTGCAGTGTACACGAAGATACGCACTGCTGTGTTTTACCCCGTACCTTTTATTGTGATCATTGTTTCGTACGCTCTTATCTGGCGTCATGTCAGACGTCATTTCAAGAAGCGCCAACAACCTGGCATCAGCTTACAGTCAACGGCAGAGTCGGCTGTCGGCACTCTCGCGTGCTCCACGTCATTAAGGCTTGGCGGTGTTGATGAACCTGACTTCAGTAGCATTTCCGGCCCTTCGATGTCTTCCCGACGCGCCAAAAGGCGCCGTCATTTGAACAGCGTCAAGAGAGACCACCTAGCAATCACCAAGAACCTCCTCGTCGTAGTGGTTGCCTTCATAATTTGCTTCACCCCTATCGCGATCATGGCGTTTACCGGCAGCAAACGTTACTACTTGTACGGTGCACTAATCCTGCTCGTCCATGGCTGCATCACTCCCTTCATCTACGCCGCCAAGCATCCATACTTCAAACCCACCCTGCGGTCCATGACCCGTTGCCTATGTTCCAAACTCCAGGAAGTATGAACCTGCACCTTATCCAAAACCAAACACCCAAAACGTTTGATTTATACCCTCACCCCATGGCCAGGCAGAACTAAGCCAGTTGGTTGTTGAAATAATTGCGCCATTAACATTTTTATCTTGAATAATGTTGTAAGGAGCAAACTCATAGCAATGAAGTTTAAACTGTAATTACTTTAATAAATACCATTGTCTGCATTGAGACAGGCTCGGTCCTCACGCATCCACATTACCGGTTTTGTTTTCCCGTGTATAAAAAGTAAACAAAATATGCAACATGACGGAAAAATGTCCAAATTTAATTAGTCAAAGACAGCAGGAACTCTGTGGTCTTTACCTTGGATGAAGTTACACGTTCGCTCGTAAACAGGCATATATATACAAAAAGGTGGGCACCAATACCTTGAAATGGCAGGCAGCTTTGAACGCAGAGGAATATTGCAAAAACAACCTAAAACGCACATTGCATGGCTCCTTAATTTAAATGATTCGGTAAAAATTCATGTTGGCCACCGTCGTCAATAAACGACGATAGTTAACAATGTCTACTCCACACCGGTGCCGGTTGCCGTAGCCCGTGCAAAGAAACGTTTGTTCAGCACGGATTAAACAGAAATTGAAGAGTATAAATAGTAACACAGAAGCGATGAAATTAATGTTAATAACAGAATTGCTTATTATATGCCAGTAAGTTCAACTTCATTTCAGAGCGGAAACCCGCGTTTGGAGTTTTCATTAAAAAAATTGATTGATAACATTATTTTTCCTCAGCGAAATAATGGCCCACCGCAACTCTAACAGAAAAGGACAAACTGTGGCCCAGCGCACGCCCAAAATTTTATTCACCTCATGCTGACAGAGTGAACATGTATCTTGAAGTTTTGGTGATAACTAACCTTCAAAATTGCGTTTTTGCTGCTTCTAATTATAAAGAATCCTTTACCATTATGACCGGCTTCAAATCATAGTTCACAAGAAACGTCGATGACTTTTGAAATGCGATCCTAATGCAAATATGTAGCGGTTCAATACCGTACCCGAAAAAAACGTATTTGGTTCAGACTGTATATCTTCTTATCAGCCAACATTTAAAGGCGCGCTACTTTTATCACGTGTAGGTTAAATATAAGACAGGGCATGCAGTGATCCGTCTTCCAGAAAAAAGGTACCAGCAAACGAGGATGATTTCCCCATCACACTACTTGCTATTGACATCGCGTCTTGATGTCCAAGCAAGAAATAAGTATTTGTTAGGCCTTAAGAAAAAAATTCTCAATTTCAGAGTTGCTGTCCTTCTTAATTAATTAATTACTCCACCCTCTATAAAAGAGGTAAAGTTAAAACAATAGGAACTCTATATTCGAGTATACACCGTTACTGCGGTGGCGCCACGTGTGTATTCTTCAACTTGTAAGGCGCGCGTGCATTTTGGCAAATCACGACACCCTATTTATCGCTAAGGCACGTGACGTGGTATATCACCTGTTCACAAGCGTTGTGCCATTTTAGTGACGGTTGCTAATCCTCGTTGGAGGATTGCTTCGTTGGAACGGAGTACATTTTTTCTTGGGAGCAAATTTTTATATAAACAGCTACCACTATAGGCCTAAAGTATTGCACGCGTACGTTTAACTTATTTCACCGTAAGTTACAACTAACCCAGTTGAGGTATGTCATATCACATCATGGAAACGAGGAATTCGTTTGTCTTCAAAGTTTGAAGGTGAGGACTACACCATATTTACCGTGGAAATTTCTCTGAATTCAGATTTTAAAAGTTTGGAAAAAAATACCACTTTCAGTGGGAACTCGAGGGAAATCTCGATTTTGGAGAGTAGAAATTTCACTCGAATTCGTGGTCATATTATTAGAGGCTGTGTATGTTGAATTTGCTGATCTGAATTTTCACTCTTTGGAATTCAGAGACATGTATGATTCTTGCTTTTTCTTCTTTGAATTGGTAGCATTTTGAGTTTGATAATCAGGCTTTGTTATAATCTGTCGGTAAATGAAATGAATTCCATAGGGAGAACACACAAGGTTGAATACGAAATGAGAAAGTAGATATTAAACATTTTGCTGTATTGCATTTAACAACCGATCCCAGGAAAGTAAGCTGCGGCTAAGTACTTGATATAGTTCAATATATTTATAGAAACACTGAAAACTGAAAGTGATTAAAATTAGCAGTGTATGCTTCATAGGATTATGAGTGCACTGTTTGCTCAAAAGAAACAAACGAAGTAAAATTACACAACGTGGTCTGTGCATTGGACTTTCTTTTTCTTTGTCTTAGCTTTCCCTCGTATCCTGTTCTTCTTGAAATAGTTCCTGCTCTAAGCACTCCTCGAAGTTAGCACTGCAGATTGTTGTGATTAGTCATTGAGCGGGAGATTTACGAGTCACGCAACATATTTCCTTATGTTATTAAGTTGAAAGTTTGAACAGTAAGGCGTGTAGTAAACAAATATCGTTGCAAAGGTCGTTGATTATATAGAGTGTTACATTGTTTTGATTAAGGCGTATAAGTTTGTATCTTAGAAGCAGCTTGAGTAACTGGTATCCTAACGCTCATACCATTGACCACAAACCATACCATACCCACAAACGTCCCTGTGCGATGAGCATCAGAGAAAAGGTTAATCTAGCTAATTTTAGGAGAAAGTTCACGAAAAGGCTCCTTCTGGATATAAATTTTTCAAAAAGTCAAAAGTAATACACCAATATCCAAACCAATAAACCAAAACCAATTTCCCTGGATGAGTTGATTTCCTCGTTTTGTATTTTTAACGCGCTTCACCGCGCAGTATTGTGCAGGTGGGACTTTCCTCATTTTTGGCTTCTTAGTTTCATGCATGGGTATTTGAATCGAGGCCAAGAAGTGGTCTTAAAAGTTCCAATGTTTAACCTAGAGATCGGGAAGTTTACAAGAATTTTAGGCACTGAAAGTGAAAAAAAAATCAGCTATTGTTTTGTTGAGAAAGAAATTGCTTCCCCATGTTGGATTGATAACGTAAGCTCAGTGTTCTTGATTTTGACGCGTTGTGACACAGTCAACTCGGGTTTGTGATAACATCCAGAGCAATTTCTACTTTGGCCTTGAGCAAACAGGATAACATTGGAAATCCAGAGAAAGAGAAGCTCGGAGAACAATGGAGCTTCTCACAACCTCATACCCTTCCTCACAACTGCAAAAAGCTTTACACACCTACCCAGAGCTGGTCTTCTGTGCCGTCGGGTTCTCCATCTTGGGAGCCCTGACAATCATGGGTAACAGCCTGGTGTGGCTGTAACATGGACCAAAAAACTCCAGAATGCTACCAACGTGTTTGTGGCCAACCAGAGCGTGGCTGACTGCCTGACGAGTTTCGCTGTCGAGTGGAGCGTGCCGGGTTACGAGCAGAATTACAGTCAAAAAGATCAGAACATGTTTTCCGATAAATGTAATGCTTTTTTAAAAATCGATTTATTTAATGTAATGTTTTTTTTAAACAGACCGTACTTTGAATTTTCGAATTAATTTTTCAAAACTGAATGAAATCTTTCGTAGCTGATGTATCATTTTGGATGAAATTTTACGGACCTAACATGTTTTTAAGATTCGAATGAATTATTTTGACCCAATATGTTTTTAAGATTCGAATAACATTTTGCAGACCTGACAAGTTTTTAAGATACGAATTAAATTTTTTGGACCTAATATCTTTTCAAGATTCGAGTAAATTTTTTTCAGACCTAACATGTTTTCGAAATCCGAATGAAATTTGACAGACTTAACGTTTTCCACATTCGAATGCATTTTCCCCGACAACAAACAGCCGAAGGTTTCGAGTGCCGCACCCGCATTTCACCGAATTCAGATAGCTTCCGAATTTCGAAAGCATCCGATCTTTTTGACGGTGTTCGGCCCGATGGTACCCGGAGTTCCGAATCTTTTTCCGAATCAGTCAAACTGTAGAATTATACCCGCTCCTTTAATCAATCGGGCAGTCAGCCTTTAAGCCCAGAATTTCGAATAAAGTCAAGCGTCAAGCGGTGTTACAATCCATGATCTGGTGTCGATGTTCCAAAAGCCAAGTAGTGTAAATGTAATCTTCGAGAGAGTTCCACATATGAGTTGTTAGTTAACAGTTACTGTAGTTTTAAGAATGGAGTCATTTTCTAGAGTCATGTGCATCATTGTGTTAAAAAACTATGTAACTGAGAATCTTCTCGTGTGTAATTTTACTTTTTTACTACAAGTGATGTTTTCAGCAATTACCATTACAATTTAAAACGATTTGAACAGCTCATTAAAGTGAATAAACAACAACTCATCACTTTCAAAACTTCAAATTTGTATGGTTTCGTAAATATTTTTTAAAAGGAAGAAAAATAGTCAAGGAAGTAAAGTACAAAAAGCCAGCTGAAAATCGTGTTCCCAGTTCAAGAAATACGAGTATTTTCAATGAGTTTTCTTAACTGCACGAAAAGAAAGGAATGTCCACAATAGGTATGTAAGGTAAGTGTGGGTGTGTTGATTGCCATTTCTGCAGATGGACGTGCACAAACTAAATGCAAGTGTCCATGTTAATCGCGCAGCTGATTTTACATGGGAAAAATAAATCAGAGTTGTGTAATCTGTTTTGCGATTATCCGCTATGTTAAAAGCTGTACTGGCCATCAGGGAACAGCAGGCATGCAGCGTTAGCATGGCGTCTGCGGTGTTCAACTGCATATAGCCTAGCGCAAAGCGATTATTTCTTTCTTCCTAAATTCTAATGATTTCATCACCCACCTCTATACAAATTATCAAAGATAACATTCTCATCACAGCAACAACTTCAATGTAGATGTTTATTATGGTTTATATCAGGACATCGTACACTATCTCGGTTAAAAACAAAACCTGAACAATATTTAATAGTTAAATGTGCAACGTCTGACTTTGAAAGACGTGTTTTTCAGCTCCAAAAAAGAAGTAGCCTTCTGCAGCCCCCTTACGTAGAAGTGTATTTAAATGTGTAGAGTAATGAGCCAGTTCAAAAAGAAAAGGTTTCCAGGAACAAAGTGCGTGTGTGGCTGCGCTGACAGGGCAAACATTGGCGCCTGCTTGCCACGGTTCCCGAATGACCTGGGACAAGTTTCAGTCTGGGCATGCGCTGTTGGAATACTGAGTCGAGACAGGATGGAGTATAGATAATGTACTCATGCTCAATCTGCGATTCTTCTTTGCCTTGCACGAGTCTAGTTGAAGTTTCCCAGTGGTTTTAAAATTTATTTCTACAACCAAACTTTCCATCAGACGTCCCCTAAAACGAGCACGCATTAGAAAACCACCACTGCTTCAAATCTTATTTCTGCTGGCATCGTAACGGACCAAGCTGGACGGGGCGCTGCCAGGAAAACTCCATCGGGACAAGTCAAACCGAGGCCTCAAGAGACGGCCGAGCGTTCACGGATACAAGACACGGAAAGAAACAACTCACAAGCTAGCACTCATGTCAGTGATAAATACATAAATTTCCCTATATGCGGTAAGCGTTAGAGCTGGACTGATACGTTTTCATGACAGGTGCACGAAAGCTCCGGTTGAATATAAATTTGCAAAATGCTTAAATTTGGTATTATAATACATAGTTCCCGTGAACCATTTTACGTCGATTTTTACAAGACGAATTTCATTCAGAGTTGGATCTTTTCGTTGGCTGAGAAAATATCCTTTTTTTGTACTTCTAACACACTGCTGTACATTGGTAGTGTGGATGGGAATTTCCTCTCAATTTAACTTCCCAGTTTCATGCCTGTAACTGCTTTAAGAAATGAAAGAAGGAAGCTCAAATGAATTTAAATTGAAAGTGAAATAAATGTCAGTGATTATTCATAGTAAAGCTGCTTTCTCAAATAGGATTGATTCCCAAGTGCTGGGTGCTGATTTTGACGGGGAATGACACAGTCAACTCGGATTTGTGATAACATCCAGAGCAATTTCTACCTTGGCCTTGAGCAAACAGGATAACATTGGAAATCCGGAGAAACAGAAGCTCGAAGAACAATGGCGCTTCTCACAACCTCATACCCTTCCTCAGAACTGCCAAAAGCTTTATACACCTACCCAGAGCTGGTCTTCTGTGCCGTCGGGCTCTTAATCTTGGCAGCCCTGACAATCATGGGTAACAGCCTGGTGTTGGTTGCGGTGGCGCGAACCAAAAAACTCCAGAACATTACCAACGTGTTTGTGGTCAACCTGAGCGTGGCTGACTGCCTGGCTGGTTTTGCTGTCCTGTGGAGCGTGCCGGGTCTGGTGAGTAAAACGTCGGACTACCCGCTGCAGTCCAACGACCCGTGTATGGCAGCGGCTGGTCTTGTCTTTATCGCCAAAGGCTGCAGCGTGTTCACCCTTGCAAATATCGCGTTGAACCGGTACATATTGATCACCAGACCCAAGGCAATCTACCATTGGCTGTACACACCAAAGAAGGTTGCCCTATTCGTCTTGAGCTCTTGGCTCGTTCCCGTGTGCTACATTATATTGCCGCCAGCATGCGGTATCGGAGGCCTCGGTTTCAACCCGGATACCCGCACATGCGCCGACGTTGAAACTCACCTAAGAGCTGAAGATTACGAAAAGATTCAAATTGCTTTTTTCTACCCGGTACCTCTCTTCATGATAATTGTTTCGTACGGTCTTATCTGGCGTCACGTCAGACGGCATTTCAAGGTGCGCCGACAACCCGATATCTGCCTGCAGTCGGCTGCAGTGAATCCTTCAGTCACCATTGACCCGTCGTTCGCGTCAAGACTCGACAGTAATGGTGACCACGAACTCAGTGCCTCTAGCAGCCCTGCTGTGTCTTCTCGACGCACCAAGAGCTCCTGCCAACATAGCCGTACCGTGAACGACCAGCTGAAAATCACCAAGAACCTCCTTGTCGTAGTGATTGCCTTTGTGGGTTGCTTCACTCCCATCACCATCACAGCGATTACCAACAGCCACCGTGTCCATCTCTATAGCACACTCGTTCTTTTCTTGCATGGCTGCATCAGTCCAGTCATCTATGCTGCGAAGCATCCACACTTCCGGCCGGTGTTACGATTCATGATCCGGTGCCGATGTCCCAACAACAAATCAGTCTTTCCCTGAAGCAGTTAATGTTTCACTCCCCCCATCCGACTTAAAATTTGGCAAGCGGCTACCATATGCTTCTAACCTAATTTTGTAGCCTAGATCAGGCAGTCTTTACATGAGGCGAAATTCTGCAACCAGTATTTTATTGTTTATTCTCACCCAAGGGAAGGTGTCCTCATCCACGCTATCGATTACACCATGAGACTGCAGGTGGCCAACCCGTTCTTTGTCATTAAGTCTGCCGAAACTACTTTTTGGCGAGCTGCGAAGCAAGTGCGAGCCTGTGTAAATCCGATTTCCATCTTCTGTCCGTCCGTCCACCCGTCCGTCCGGCCGTCCTCAAATGTAAAAGATTTTCCTTGCAGGTCGATGGGTGTTAAAATGTGCCATTGGGTGTTTGTTTGCTTCCTCTTGGAATTCCATAAGTATTTAAATAGTCCCATATTGCATTAATGCTTAGAAACTACAGAATTTAAAGAAAGAATTATAAAAGTTGAATGTTAATGTCTTGAGTTGTATTGTGTACTTACCCTGTAGTACCTACAGTACATACGTACCTGTGTACTGAGCACTCCTGTAATGTACATGTATGGGTGTATTGACAGTGTTTAGACACATATTAATGTACATGTACAGTATGTGGGAAAAATGTAAGGGATGGGGGGGGGACTCCAAGAGACAGATTAGGATGTTTGTTGGGGGAGGGGTACCTGTTGGAGGAGGATCATGGGAACAAGGTACATGTATGTAGAAAGTGGATGAAATGCTGGAAAAGGTTGGTGAAATGGTTGGGCTGGATTAGTGGGATGATGGGACAGCCAGAGTAAGAAGTGAAGGGGAGGATGGGGAAGGGGCAGAGTAGGAGATGGATGNAGTTGAGTTTTTCATTTTTCCACCCAGACCTGCGCCTCTGAATGCTTTGCCGATATAGTGCGCCTTATAAATGCTTTATTATTATTATTATTATTAATATTTCAGAAAAATTGTTCAGTTTAAGCGCAAAAAACGTGACATGAACTTAAAGGAACAGTGTTTCTGCAAACGAGTTTATGGCCCGTTGTCTTTGTACACGTTTTCAAACCACGATTTTGAAACCTTGGCGATGTCTGTTCGTTATCAAAGTGACAGCCAACAAAGACCCTGACAATTATTGTAAATAAATGACGTCCTGATGACGTCATCATGTCACTTATTATTAAATGTTGAATATTCAAATATTCTGTTAAAATTTAAAAATTCATGTAAAATAAACCGTGGCGTCCTGCAACAATTTTTGGGCCAAGTGCCAGAGTATACATTCGGCCTTCAATTCAGCTTGTGTGGGTCAAATCACATGACCCTTCTTTCCGGCTGAAACCGGAAGTAGGCTTATTGTTTAAAAGTGGTAACAGTATTAAGTTTTTTCTTTAGAATTAGTCCGTTGGTGTCACTGCTGGGTTGAAAACTTGCCTATATTTTGGAAAGAAAGTGCTTTGGGCAAATATTGACCTCATTTAGTGATGATATGTCATCGAACAATAAGTTTCGTGACATTAAAGGTGAATACTTTCAAGTACTATATCTCCTGAAGTATATGTCCAATTGAGTTCAAACCTTGCAGATATCTTGAAAAGCAAGTGCTTTAAGGAAACATTGACCTCATCTGATGATGACGTCATTAAGTACCAAATCACCTGATATTTAAAGGTGCATCCTTTAAAGTATTATATCTCCTGAAGTACATGTCCCATTGAGTTGAAACTTGCATGTTTTGGTGTTTTTAAAGGGGAGTGTTATAGACACCTTACGTGATGACGACATCATCAGATAATCATGTCACGTGACATTAAAGGGGCACTCTCCCAGGCGCTATGTCTCTTGAAGTGCATGTATGATTGGGTTCCAAACTTGAACCTATATGGGCATGATCAAATCATTTCACCACAAGGTTTATGCTATAGCTTTAATTGGTCAAATTTCAAAAGGCGAAAAAGCCATCTATTCTGTTGGAAGCATACAGATACATTTTAGGACTGAAAAAAACCTGTGCCCTTCCTCCCTGGTTCTACATAAGCAAAATGTGCTTATAGCTGCATCCAGCAAATTTGAGCCATCGTACGTGTACCCATCTCTTCTCACAGCTCAAAAAAGGAAAAATCCTTCCTGTCTTTCCTAGGAAAGACAGAATCCTGTCTTCACAAAACACCTGCTTTACATTCACAACATGTGGAAATCAAGTTTTGTGGTTTTCACAAGTTCCCTTCGCATTTTGCTATCACGGTTTCGAAAACACGCACGCAATATAGCTTCATGCAAGGTTTCCGCTGGTTCCCGCTGCGCCATGCTACTGCCAAAAAAGTGTGATGGCAACAAGGCAACCAGTCCATGCATTAAAATAGCGTTGTGCAATTCACTGTACACACACACAGAACTCTACGTGGCTGCACATAGACAAATGATGTCGCAGGAAGTACAAGTTACGTGTACTTTCCAGAAATTGATTAGTTGGATATATAAAATCTACGTATTTTTTGTGTTCACAAATTTAATTTGAGGTTACATATATGTTGCTTGATCGGCCTGAGGTGCAACACGACACGACCTCACTAAAGGTTTCATTGGTGTCCGTGGGAGAGGACGTTAAACTTGCATTTTGAATTTTCAGGCTATTCATGATGAAAAAGACAGCAATAGGTGGAAAGGCTTGCGGTAGCACCATGCGAAGGAATATATATCAACTGGGAAGGAATATAAGTAAACTGGCATTGTTAGAAAATTATACCAGCCAACATCTACTCAGGTCATTTGCAAGAGTATGAGCCGTATGCACGACTGTCGACCGTGCAATGAACAGTCGCGTTGCGCGCTAGCTACGTGTTTACATGTAGCACATAAGCCTCGTACATTGAGCAGGCAATCACAACTGTTCAGGCTGTGGAATTATACTGTGAACTTGAAAGTGCTGCGCCGGTGATTTAAAACACGAGTCATTAAATGTGAGAAAAGTTTTGAAAATGTGGCAGTGTTCCTCAAATAACCACTGCCGGTTGGGCCATTGATTTTGGGGAATGCAGTGGCTCAATGAATTTTTTAGTGGCCCCGTGCCAGCAGAGCATCGTTAAGATTGAGCGCGCATGAGGCATGAGTGACAAGGGCTGACGCAACAGTGGATCTTGCTACAGTATGGTCCGTTGAGTTCGTGATGAGCGAGGAGTGTACACTCCAGACCTAAACAAGGGTATTCAATCGCTCCTTTTGTTGGTAACTGCTGCGCTAATTCCTGGCTGTCTATCACACTAATCTTTCATTACGCTTCGACAGTTAATCCGCTGTTTTCACACCTTCTACGGTGGGAAGCTGGACCGGTGTACCATTATGAATAATGATAGGGCCATCACCTGCCAAGATGTTGACGTGAAAGGCCGTGAAACTGCTGTGAGCTAATCCGCTCCCAAGCTGATCCACTTTCCACCGTGAAAACGGGCTTAGGCTACATTGCCTTGACAAAAATTTCACGGTGATTAAATGGTAAAACTGCATTTTCACGGTGTTGAAAGTTAAGTGGGTAGATCCAGGATTTTTTTTCGTGTGTAGGGCTCAGAAAAATTTTGAAATTCCCATTTTTTGCCGTTGGTAAAGCCATTTG